TTTTAAGTTGCATCAATAAAAAAACTATTGAAGTTAACCAAATGCAGATGTTTTAGATCTGAAGCTAAGTGTTTAGTTTGGTTATATTCTTGGTCGTATATGATTATTACTAGTAGACTTTGTTAGACTCTTCTATGCTGCAAGTCTTTAGCTGTTCCTATGGAATTATGAGGATCTTGTTTATGTAGATTGCAGGAGACGAGGAGCTAAGACAGAAAAGATTGCAAGAACAGTATGAAGTTACAGTCTTCTCTTCATGGTAGAGGAGGAATTGGGCTTTATATCTTAGACGAGTTGGATAGGAGAGATCTTCGACAGTGATCCTTGGTATTTTGAATATTATTATAGAATCATTTGAACTAGTATAAGCTAAAGAGTGAATTTATTTACAAAGATTCAGAAGAGTCTCATAGACTCCCAGGGGCAGGAAGTTCGCTGTGCCTTAGCGGATTCCACAGGAAGCTGGAATCTCAGACAAAGAAAATCAAGCCACTCAATCACTTAGTTGTTATAGAGTCACTTTGTCACTCATCTTTGGTTTGTCTCTACAGCTCTGTTTTTCCTTTTTATTAGTGTGTAAGTGTCCAAAAGGTGATATCCTGGTTTAACTTTACATCTTCTTAGTTCAAGCATATTTCCAAGCATAAAAATAAGATTGTTCCAACACGAGTCAGGTTCCCTTCCTTGGTCCAGGTGGCTACAGTCGGGGGGCTAAGGCAATGGTCCAGGGCTATAGGCAAGGGCTGCTAGGGCCCGTGGGGGATTGTGGGCTAAATACTGCAAAAGATGCCTATCACCTCAAGCTTTATACATCTCAATCTGGGCTGATGGCTCTGGCAGGCTATATGTACTGCTAATAGTATATATTCTGCTATATATACTATAATTCTGAATGACCTAGTTTTTAGAAAATGTGCTGCTCTTGAATTATTATGTTTTAATCTAGCTAACTTGTTGGGGCCACAGAAAAATTTACCCCTGTGGGTAATGAAAATGACTATTATTGATCATATTAGTAAGCATCATGTTCTGGAGAATAAAATGAAACTTAAAAGGCAGATATTAGACTGGGATAAACTTGAAACATTGATAAATAATTTCTTCTCTTTGGGTTAGTTGGAAGGTAGACTTGTATTCTTAGGCATAGAAGTGCTTAGAGAACTTTCAGTGGTGGGATGAGCTAGCCCCTGCCACACTGGGACAGGAAAGAAGCCAGAAGGGGCATCCTATGTAGGATATTGAAGATACTGCTGGGTCTCTGGTATCTCAGAAAAGCTACATGCACTTGTAATTGTAAGTTATCCTCTATTTCTTAAATCTTTAGTAAATTATTGATGGGGACGTCAAGGGAAGAATCTATTCCATATTAGGGATGTGGTAGCAAAAAGGAAGGTTTAACAACCCCCATCCGCCCCCTCTCCTGCTCTCTTACCAACATACAGCGGCAGAGCCCAAGAGAACAAAGGCCTGGAGCCAAGCGCCGAGGGAAGCAGTGGTGTGGCACTTATGTAATGGCATTGGAGCAAAAGAATGTTAACACACATCTTCTTTTTTTAATTTAATTTTTTAAATTGACAGATTGTTGTACATATTCATGACACACAGTGATGTTTCGATACATGTGATATATAGTGACCAGGTTAAGGAAATTAGCATATCCACCATCTCAGACATTTATCATTTCTTTGTGTTGAAAACATTCAATATCGTCCTCTGTCTATTTGAAACTATACAATATATTATTGTTAACTATAGTCCTTTTACAGTGGTATAGAACATGAGAATTTATTCCTCCTATTGAGCTGTAATTGTGTATCCTTTAACAAATCTCTCCCCATCTCTCCTTTCCCCCACCCTTCCTATTATCTACTATCCTCTGTGCTACTTTCTACTTCCATGAGATCAACATTTTTTAGCTTCTACATATGATAAGAATATTTGGTGTTTAATTTTCTGTTCCTGTCTTATTTAACTTAACATAATGTCCTTCAGTTCCATCCATGTTGCTGCAAATGACAAGACTTCATTCTTCTTTATGGCTAAATATTATTCTATGGTGTGTATGTACCACATTTTCTTTATCCATTCATCTGTTGGCTATTGTGCATAACGCTGCCATAAACATGGGGATGCAGATGCCTCTCCAATATAATGATTTCCTTTCCTTTGGATAAATTCCCATAATGGGATTGCTGTATCATGTGGTAGTTCTATTTGTAATTTTTTTTTTTTTTTTTTTTTTTCGAGAAAAAGTCTCACTCTGTTGCCTGGGCTACCGAGCGCATCGGCATCAGCCGTAGCTCACGGAACTCAAACTCTGGCTCACACTTCTGCTCAGCCTCCGAGTAGATGGGCTACAGCGTGCTCATGCCCAGCAATTTTCTAGATAATTTTAGTCAGCTATTTTTCTATTTTTAGTAGAGACGGCGTCCAGTTGCTCAGCTTGGGTTCAAACTCCTAAGTTCAAACGACCCCGCTCAGCCACCCAGACTGCTAGGATTAAGGCATAGCCATGCTTGGCTTATTGGTAATTTTGAGAACCTGCATACATTCCCATAGTGCTATACCTAGTTGCATTCGCACCACATGTTATAGCTTCCCTATTCAATTTCTCCGCATTTTCTTTTTTTTTTGAACAGATCTCGCTTCGCTAGGTTAGGTAGTGCTGCGTCAGCCCTTCAAGCAACTAAACGTCGGGCTTTACAGCAATCCTCTCGCCAGCTCCCGAGTTGCTTGGCTACAGCAGAGGCCCATCGCCGCTATTTATATATATATCTTCGGCCAAAATTACTTTTTCTAATTTTTTATAGTAGCAGACCGGGGGTCTCGCCAGGCTGTTCTTGATCTGACCTGTAGCATCGCTCGCTCCGCCTCCAGAGTGCTAGGATTACAACGGGAGCCACCGCCGCCGCCATTTATCTGCTTTTTGTAATACCATCCCTGAAGGGTAAGGATGAATAGATACCTCACTGTGACTTGATTTACACTTCTGATGTGTGATCGTGAGCTTTTCATTATCTAACTGATATTGTATGTGTCGCTTTTGAGAAATGCTGTTCAGATCATTTCCATTTTTATCTGGCTTTTTACTTTTTGCTGTTGAGGCTTCACTTCTTTGTTATTCTGAATATCAATCTCCTGTCATACAAGTAATTTGCAAATATTTTCTTCCTGCTGTAGGTTGTCAACCCTCTTCTTGACATATGAGACCTTCTTGGCGGCAGGTCTCAGAAAAACTGGGAGACGACATTGCGCAGTGTACAAGTCCTGCAATTTGGGCTTGGTAAAACAGGGCTTGAAATCATTACATATTTACCGCCAAAGTACAAACAAGCGTGCTTCATTTCTGTAGTCAGTGCAAGTCTGTATTGACAGATCATGGGAAAAGCAAAGAACAAAACTACAGAATTTCAACATTCGGGCATATCATTAGGGTATGACCTTAATATGATAGACTATTTTGTAGACGTTAACAATGGGCTGGGACGCGGTGGCTTCCACCCTGTATCTAGCACTCTGGGAGGCAAGGCAGGGGATTGCTCAAGTCAGAGTTCAAAACAGCCTGAGCAGAGTGAGACTGTCCTCTTACTATGATAGATTAATTGCAACTATATATACTTACGGAGACAAAATTAGCCGGCATGGTGGCGAATGCTGTACGTCCCAGCTTACTTGGAGGCTAGCGTAGGTTTGCTAGCCCATGGAGTCCTTGAGATTGTTGAAGCTAGATGACACCACGGCATCACTTTAGCATCGAGGCACCAAAGCAGACTCTGTTCAAAAAAAAAATTTTACCGTAATCCTATAGCACTCTGGGAGGCAGAAGGCATGGAGGATCCGCTCAAGTCAGCGAGTTGACAACCGGCCTCGACCAAGACAACGATCCTTCTCTGGCCAGCTGGGGGCCAACCTGTAATCCTAGCGTCTTGGAGGCTGAGGCAGGAGGAGCGCTAAGTCAGCCCGTTAAAACCCCAGCTGACGAGAGCCAAGACCGTCCTATCAATACCGGAAGAGATTAATTACCACACACAAACTACATAGAAAATTAGCTGGGATCGGTGGTGCATGCTGTGTCCAGCTACTCTGCGCGCCCGCGGCAGTAGGTCTGCTTGAGCCAAAAGTTTCAGGTTGCTGTGACTAGGCTGTCACACTGTACGCCGGGCAACAGAGTGAGGACCGTCCTCAAACAAAAAAAAGCTGATGTCACACAGAAACCTGGAAAATCAATACTAAGATGTACACATGATATCTATATCATATCAGAGTCGAACATAATGAGAATAAAATCATGCACAATGGTTTCTCTAGTAATAGGATTGTGTGTGATTTTCTTCCTGCTTCCTCATATTTTGTAGTCTTTCCAATACTTATATAAAATAATTATTTTAGCCCGCCGTGCTCACGCTGTAATCCTAGCCTGGGAGCCGAGGCGGGCGGATTGCTCAAGGTCAGGAGTTCAAAACCAGCCTGAGCGACCGTCTCTACCATAAAAAAGAAAGAATTAATGGCCAACTAATATATGTATAATAAATAAATAAAAAAAAAATCACCGGGCATGTGGCCTGCCTGTAGTCCCAAGCTACTCGGAGGCTGAGGCAGGAGGATCGCTTGAGCCGGAGTCTGAGGTTGCTGTGAGCTAGGCTACGCCACGGCATTCACTCTAGCCTAGGCAAGAAAGCAAGACTCTGTCTCCAAAAAAAAAAAAAAAATTATTACTTTTAACATTAGAATTAGAAACAAGAGAAAGTTTTAATCCATTTTGTGACTAGTCACACCTTTTCTAGAGTAGTTTACATCTAAGTTTTCACTTATGCACCCAGAAATATTTGTACATCATCTTTACCTTAATCACAGTAAAGAAATTCTAAGTGACAGTGAAGAGCTGGGGAAGAGGAGGCTGCATGGCACGCTCTGCTTTGTCTTTTCTCCCTTCTCTGAGACTCTCAAGGCGACACCCCTCGAGCACTAATCAAGCCTTTCCTTTCCTCCTCTTCTTACAGATTATCTCCAATATTCCAGGGCCTTCTTCCTCATCTCCATCCTCACCATACTCATTGGCCTTGGCTGGCTCTTCAGCTCTTGCCTCCCTAGAAGAGAAAGCACGACCCACAGCCTGGATCTGAAGGTATCCACGCTCAGCTTCATCTCAGGTACAGACCTAGACTGGCAGGGTAACACCATGGCAAAATAGTCAAGGTAACGAAGTTTCTCTATGGGGCTTTTGAACTTTGCTCCTCTTCTTTAGTATCAACACCAAGTTGCCAGCTCCCTGCCTTATCTTACTTTGTAGAACACCCCTTAGTGGACCTTACTAGGGTAGAGGCCCCTTTCTCTCACTCATCTTAGTCAATCCTCAAGTTTCCATCCTTTTGATCCTTGCCATACATACGGCCTCTGGAGGCAGAAGAAGAGCTGGGGGTGGTGGTCAAGGCAGACTGAAGACGCGGATGGGTTGTGACATCTTTTCTACTGGTCCTAGCCACGTGCTTGCTCCTCTGCCTCAACCTGTTTGTGGCACAGGTTCACTGGTATACTACGGATGCCATGGAGTCAGATCTTCTATGGGCCTATCATCTTAACTGGGGGAGTGACTTCTTATGCACGTTTGCTGGTGAGTTAGTCCCCTGCCCTATGCTAGAAGGATGGAAAGGGTAATAAATCACTTCTGGAAAGGGAGGTGGAATCTAGGAGAAATAGAAGCACTGACTGTGCCTATTCAGAATATTTATACACGGAGAGTTAGTGTGATATGGTGAAGAAAGCATGGATTTTGGAGTCTGAAAACCTAGAATTAGTAACCTGTTCTTTCACAAAGTGAGGCATGGACAGATTGAGTAACTTGCCCAAGATCACACAGAAAGTAGCGAAGCTATGATTTGAATCCAGTAAGCTCAAGCTTTGTTCAAACAAGTCTATGGAGCAATGGGAGCACAGGAGAGTAAAGCAACTCTGCCGGGGAATAGAAGGGTTCACCAAAAAATACTACTGAACTGAGTATTAAAGGATGAGTAAGAATTTCAAAAGCCAAAAGGCCATTGTCTGTTGAACCTCACCTCAAATTCTTCTCTTCCCCTAGGAATCATCTCTTTTCTCAACTACTTAAGTTCCAGATCTCGTCCCCCTAATCAAAATGTCACTGTGATTCCAATAGAGAAATCAAGGCTGGGGATTGGTCCAGTGACTACAGTATCACCTGCTAAAGATAAATTGTCAAAACAGTTAAAGTCTAAGACGGAATCTCTAAGAGAGTCAGGAAAAAAACTACCAAAAAAACTACCAAATGCAGCAGTGTGACGGTGATAAGAAACCCTAACTATTGCTTTTCTTAACAACAGGGGAGAAGCTGAGTTGGGAATGATTGTGCAAATTCTAGGAAACCCTCCTAATATCATGTCCATATTACTGAAGGAGACAACATTAAAGTTGATGAAACACCCTTTGTGTGCATTGGATTCAAAATATATATGATAATCACAAAGAAAGTAAAGAAAATTCACTTAAGAAAAATTTATAGGCTGGACACAGTGGCTCATGTTTTTAATACTAGCACTTTGGGAGGCAGAAGCAAGAGGATAGTTTTAGCTCAGGAGTTCGAGACTGGCCTGAACAAGCGCAGGAACCCATCTCTAACAAAAGCAGAAAAAATTAGCCAGGCCTCGTGGTGCGTGCCTGTAGTCCCAGCTACTCTGGAGGCTAAGGCAGGAGCATTGAGCCAAGCCCAGGAGTTTGAGGTTGCTGTGAGCTAAGCTGACACTACTGCACTCTAGCCCGGGCAACAGAGTGAGACTCTCAAAACCAAAATTTTTTTCTAAAGAAAAACATCAATGTTTAGGGTCATGAATAAAAGAAACTAGTGATAGATGCAGTGTGTGGACCAGCTATCTCTTGGGGGATTAGGGATCTCATGGACCAGAATGGTCCATGGAGAGTAATATCAATTATTTCTGTTTGGAATTTTCTTTTTTATGTGTGGATATGGGGATACTCAGGATGGGAGGCGCTTGGACAATACTGTTGAATCAAAATTTGGGACCATTACCAGAAATAGAATAAACACCAATGAAGATAATATCTACCACCCCAAAGAACTGAGAGGTTGGGGTAGAATTAGGGGAATCCATGAGATCTTACTTCCTATGAAAGTTGTTAATTTGAAACTCTTACAGTCTGTTATGCAAAACTACTGCTTCTCCTAGGCAGGGAGATACCTTAAACCAGGCATCCACAAACTCCCTGAAATTCAATACAAAACTTGCATATGCATTTTTCTGTGAAGAGGGCCAGAGACTCCATCAGGGCTTTCTTTGGCGCATATATGTAACCGAGCTGAAAGATTTTTTCATGTTTTATATACCCTGTAAAACTAAATAAGGGTGGAGGAGGTGGTATTTTCAGGCCATCATAGGTCTTTTGATGGCTAATGATCCCTTTCAAACTCAGACAAGATTCTATGCAGAAAGACACTCATTTTGTCTTTTATTCTATTAGTTGTTACCGCTACTACTCTATTGGTTGAGACCATTCTTCTCCTCCCCAAGCCTGGCAGTGGAATGGACTATAGTGGCCAGCTTCACTTCTTGCTCTTTGTTTTTTGTTGTTGTTTGTTTGTTTTTTGAGACAGTCTCACTTTTTTGCCTAGGCTAGAGTGAGTGCTGTGGCGTCAGCCTAGCTCACAGCAACCTCAAACTTATGGGCTCAAGCAAACCTACTGCTTCAGCCTCCTGAGTAGCTGGGACTACAGGCATGCGCCACCATGCCTGGCTAATTTTTTCTATATATATTAGTTAGCCAATTAATTTCTTTCTATTTATAGTAGAGATGGGGTCTTGCTCTTGCTCAGGCTGGTTTTGAACTCCTGACTTTGAGCAATCCGCCCGCCTCAGCCTCCCAGAATGCTAGGATTACAGGTGTGAGCCACCGCGCCTGGCCCTTGCTCCTCTTGAAGATAAGCTCTTGGGTCCTTTTGGTTTAATTTAGAGATTCACTAGTAGCCCTCATAGAAAACAAAATAACTGACACCGAACAATAATATAGTTCTTACAATCCTGGCCAGTGAGTCCCAGACATTCCGGACGGTGACTGGAAGCCCTTTGGGTTAATGCTTCCGCTTTTATTTCTGTGGGTAGCGGTTTACAGCACACGCTTATGTACCCACACACAGAGGCACAAACACACATTTATACATGCACTTTGTTTTGATCCTGCCTTGGAAAACTCTTTTATTCATGTTGGCCCACTTTCTAGCCAGTAATTTTTATTATGGCAGAATTACTGGTACCTTCTTATGTTAAGTGGCCTCATTTCAGAGGCTCTTCATGCTGTTCCTGGGCCTTTGTCTGGTTGTAAGAATAGACATGTAATCAAAGCCAACTCCCCCTCTTCACATTACTACTCACACACAAATTCTACCTCGCATATTGAGTGATTAAGTATTCACTGGAGTCTCAATCTTTTTTTATAACTTAGTTTGAATACTTTAATTTTATGACTAAATTGACAGGTGCTGAGCCCTGATGACTCTTCAAGGAAGAGAAGAAGTTTTAAATAGGGGGAGAAGGAAGCAGTCCTGAGTGAGGGCAGAAGCAGCTAGACAATAAGAAAGTAGCAATGAGGGCCCTGGCTATTACAGGAGAATTGACAGTAATCATAATTACCTTGTCCACTTTTCTAGCAGAGAATTATCTTATAAGCAGAGATAATCTTTCATTCCTTCTCTAGAAACTGAATGCTCTATTTTCTTTCTCTCCTTCTTTTAAAGAATTCCTTAAAAAGCTTAGGTAGATTTCCAGTCAGAGATAACTCAGTAAATTATCCTTTGATACACTCCCTCTGCTCCAAATACATTTTATCATAGATGAAGTGGAGAGATAGAGAGAGACAGACAGACATAGTCTAATCAAAAGAAGATGAACAGCTTCACAGATTAGGAAAAAAAAAAACCCAAAATGCAAAGCTATGATTTGAGCCAAGCCCTACATGTACTGAGCTCTAAGTCCAAAAATGAGTAGAAGTGAACAGGAAGATAGCTCCTGTGGGGTGAAAGTCAAGACACAGACTAGCGCCAGGTTCATAACTTCAGATCAAAGAAGAGCTCTAGAAAAGAAGCTGAATAAAAACTGCCACCGAGCACTGACTAGGGCTATAGCTACCTGGAACTGCAGACTTAAAGAGTCAGAAAGACATAAATACAACCTTGCTAAACCAAGCAGTTAATGAAACCAAGGTTCATTAACTGTGTCTGAGATATTCTCTGGTAGCATAACAGAAAGGAAATCTAAATACCATATTATGAGACCTGACTCTGGACAGAGGACTTTGGTCAAAGTAAGGAAACTCCAAATCTACCAGGTGTGATAAAATAAAGGGAGAAAGAAACAAAAACAAACAAAAGACATGTTTGTGCCTACAAATAGGAATTCCAAACATGAAGAAATGTTCAGAACAAAACTAATAATGTCAATAATCAGAATATGAATTCATTCCGTATTAAAGTAATTTGAGGTATAGTGTGATGAATACGTTAAGTATTCTTATGATGCACAAACAGATATATGATAAACTCACAGAGTACAAAAGAAACCCCCAAAACCATGAAACAAAAATAGGTAGAAATAAAACAAAAATGGGTTTAAATGAAAAAGAACCAATTATAAACCAAAAATGAAAAAGTACTTACTGGATTAAAAAATTCAATAGGATAAAATCTAGATAGCATAAGTAAAAAAAGAGAAAATAGTGTATTTTCAGACATACCTAGAACATTTATTAATATAAAAATTGACCAAACACTGACCAGGCACGGTGGCTCACACCTGTAATCCTAGCACTCTGGGAGGTTGAGGCGGGAGGATTGCTTGACGTCAGGAGTTTGAAAGCAGCCTGAACAAGAGTGAGACCCCTATAAAAAATAGAAAAATTAGCCAGGCGTGGTGGTGCATGCCTGTAGTCTGAGGTTGTAGTAAGCTATGATCATGCCATTGTACTCTAGCCAGGCAATAAAGCAAGAGTCTGTCTCCAAAAAAAAAAAAAAAAAAAAAATTGGCCAAATACTACATCTGAAAGAAAGTTTGTATACTGACCATAACAAAATTAGAATTCAATAATGAAAATGATTTTTTTCAAAAGTCTATATTTTTGAGAACTATAAAATGCTCCTTAAAAATATAGTCAGTAAAAAGGAAATCACACTGGAATGCCAACATATTTAGAACTAAATAACCATGAAAGAATTATAATCAAAACTCATAGATGTATTTATTAAAAACAAACAACAAAAAATAGTTTAAGGCCGGGTGCAATGGCTCACGCCTGTAATCCCAGCAGTCTGGGAGGCCGAGGCAGGTGGATTGCTCGAGGTCAGGAGTTCAAAACCAGCCTGAGCAAGAGCGAGACCTCGTCTCTACTATAAATAGAAAGAAATTAATTGGCCAACTAATATATATATAGAATAAAATTAGCCGGGCATGGTGGCTTGTGCCTGTAGTCCCAGCTACTTGGGAGGCTGAGGCAGGAGGATCGCTTGAGCCCAGGAGTCTGAGGTTGCTGAGCTAGGCTGACGCCACGGCACTCACTCTAGCCTGGCAACAAAGCGAGACTCTGTTGAATATCACAAGACATCAAGGTGTGGCAGAAAAAAAAAAAAGAAGAAGAAATAAAATAATTTAAAAAATTAAAAAAAAAACAAAAACAAAGCAAGACTCTGTCTCAAAAAAAAAAAAGTTTAAATGAGTTATGCATTCAGCTCATTAAACTGTAAAAGAATAATTATAAAAACCAAAAGAAGGAAGAAATTTAAAAATAAACACTTTAAAAATATGAGAAAAATTTTAGGTTCAAAAAATAATCTAAAATCTAGTTCTTTGAACAAAAACTAAATAATATAAGCAATGTAATTAAGCAAAGTAACAAAGAGAAAAAGCATAAATAAACAATATTAGGAATGAATAATTAAAGTATATACATACATGTACACTTATAGGTACATATGCACACATTTACATATATTTATATGGGTATATACACATGATCTGTCTGGAAAATATCCAGCCACTGTCAATATAATGAGAACAGTTTGTACGACAAGGATGTAACCTGGCAGCCAAGGAGAGTGGACTGGAACGCACATGTGCGAACACTGATCACTTCACCGTACTCGTCAGTGGGCGCTAGATGCCGGTGAGAGAGCATGCCTACCGCGTGGCCTTTGCATTTGAAATGGCTGAGCGAGTAGAACAATGAATCTGCATCAAATTTTGCGTTAGGCTCGAACATTCCTCCCATGAAACTATTCATATGATTGAGAAGGCTTTCGGGGACTAGGCAATGAGTGCAGCATAAAAAAAAGTGTGGCACAAATGCTTCAAAGATGGTCGAGAATCTGTTGAAAGTGATCCACGTTCTAGAAGGCCTGCAACAAGCAGACACCTGAGACTGCTG